TGTGTGAATCCACAGTTACCTCAATAAAAGTTTAATATTTAAAAGGGGAAAGGGGAGAGCGTCGTGCTCAGATTGGGATCTCATTCTGCTCCCTGCCCCAGGCTTGCCCTCCCCAGAGGCCTCTCCCGGTCCTGCAGCCACAGGGCCTTGGGGCAGAGGCCAGGCCGGGTGAGTCAGGAGAGCCGGTGCTGCCCACAGGGCTCCAGCACCACCGGGACCTGAGCACCCCTGTCCTGCGGCCCGACGTAGAGGCCCTGCAGCAGCTGGTGGAGGCGGCCGTAGAGCAGGCCCTGCCCGGGGCCACTGTCACGCTGGCTGGCGGCTTCCGGAGGTAAGGGGACCCGATGTGCCCTTCAGGCTCTTCTCCAGACCCCTCCCCAGTGAAGGGACCTGACGTGGGGACACTGAGGCAGGCCTTTGCACTCACTGGAAGGAATGGCCTGAGGTTGGAGGAAGGGCCCTCTCCTTGTGTCGAGGCCAGGGAGTCAAACTGGCCCCCTCAGGGGGAAGTTGCAGGGCCACGACGTGGACTTCCTCATTACCCACCCCGAGGAGGGCCAGGAGGTGGGGCTGCTGCCCACAGCGATGCGCTACCTGCAGGACCAGGTGAGAGCCTCCCCACTCGCCTTCCCGAGGGGGACTGCTGCCTGGTGCTGCAGCCTCCCAGCCTCTGGCTCTCCCTGCACCCCGTGGCAGTTCTGGCCACACCTGCCTCTTCCCACAGGGCCTTGTCCTGTACCACCAGTACCAGCACAGCCACTGTGGGCACCCTGCCCAGCAGAGCCACACCATGGATGCCTTCGAGAGGAGTTTCTGCATTTTCCGCCTGCCACAGCCCCCAGGGGCTTCTGTCAGGGAGGCCCCAAGGCCCTGCCCAGCGTGGAAGGCCGTGAGGGTGGACTTGGTGGTGGCTCCCATCAGCCAGTTCCCTTTTGCTCTGCTTGGCTGGACTGGCTCCAAGGTAGGGAGGGAGCTGCTGGGCCACCCAGGGCTGAGCGCTGGGCCGGCCCTGCTGAGGCTGTCCCTTCCCCCTAGCTTTTCCAGCGGGAGCTGCGCCGCTTCAGCCGCAAGGAGAAGGGGCTGTGGCTGAACAGCCATGGGCTGTATGACCCAGAGCAGGTATGTTGCTGGGGACTAAGGGCAGGAATCAGCCCCCACAGCCTGCTTCCTGGCCCACAATCTGAAATGGCCCCAGACCTCTACAGCCTAGAACCCACAGGACCCAAATCTGGGTGTCCACACCCAGATCCTGGCCCTCGAGACCACAGCCCACCTCGGGGCTGGCTCTGCCTCCCAGCCTCCTCCAGGGGAGCAGCCCTGGCTGGGCTCCTGCACACTGCTGTGGCGTTGGCCCCGGGCATGGCTCCCTCGCCCCTGAAGCCCCTGTTCCTGTTGCAGGAGACATTTTTCCACGTGGCTTCAGAGGAAGACATCTTCAGACACCTGGGCCTCGAGTACCTTCCCCCAGAGCAGCGAAATGCCTGAACATGCCTGTGGCCCCCACTTCCATTCTTAGGAAATGAAGGGCTACCCCTGACTTGGCCACTGACTGTCCCCAGGCAGAAGATGTGCCACTGCCCACTGTCTTCACCCTCCAGGTGGAGGAACCCCACCTGCGGGGGCCTGGCTCTGCTGGAAGCCAGCTGTGTCTGAGCTGTCGGCCCCCGTCAGCTGTGGGGTGCCTGCAAGGTGGGAGCCTCCATGCTGGCCTCGTCGCTGTGTGACCCTGGATCAGCCCTCAGCCTCCCCATGGCTCAGGTTCCTGCCCTCGACAGAGGTCTGAGCAGTGCCCACTGCATGGACTTGTGGCAGAGCCTGTGGTCACGAATGCCAAGTGCTCTGCCTGGTGCCTAGCGTTTGATCAGTCAGTCGCGGTTACTGTGACCCCTGCAGGGCACCCTGCTCAGGAGTGCCTAGAAGAGAACCCCATGTCCCTGCCCTGCATTTGAGCTGTGAGTTGGCGGCTACAGCTCTTGCCACGGGGTGCTGAGGGGTGTGCTGTGGGCATCTAGAGAGGGAGAAGGCCGGGGAGGGAGTGTGAGGAAGAGAGCTTCCAGCGCCGGGCTTCAGCTCTGCAGCCCACAGCCCGGCTTTCTGTTTCTGCCTTTAGGGCCTGTTGTCAGCGCAGATTTTTAAAAATAGGTCATATCCTGCCACTCCTTGCTCAGAGCCCTCCCCTAGGGTGGTTCCAAACCCAAATTCCTCCTGTGGCCCCCAGGGCTCTGGTATTTCTTCCCGCCCCTGCCAGCCCCTGCTCCCTTCTATCCAGCCCTGCTGGCCCCAGCTGCACCTCTCACTGCTTTCCTTCTTGGTGGGCCGCAGGCTCTGAGTGGCCAACTCCCTCCCCTCCTCACTGAGGCTGAAGCAGTGAGGTGGGCTGTACACATAGTACCCTCTGCTCTGCGTTCCTCACATCCCCCCGAGCTGGCTCCGGCCTCCAGGGCTTTGCTTTTGCCCCACCATCCGTCTGCGTCTGCGGTGTGCTCTCTCCTCCAGGCCTCTACTCAAAAGTCACTTTGGCAGGGGAGGACTCCCGCACCACTTACCACATTAAAATATATTTTTTAAATGAACATGTAGTAAAATGGACTCTTTTGGGGTACAGTTTGATGAATTCACACGTGTAGACTCATCCATCCGCATCCGTTCCCATTAGGATACACCAGGTCCAAGCCCAGAATCCTCCCTCGTGCTGTTCCAGCATGAGGTCACATGCTTCCCCACCCCTCGCCCCCTCTCTGGTTCTCTGTCCCTATAGTTTGCTTTCTCCAGAATGTCATAAATGGAACCAAACTATACATAACCTTTTGACTGACCTCTGTCCCCCAGCGTGATGCCTTTGAGATTCTAGTGGGTTGTTGCGTGTATGGCTAGTGTGTCCCTCTTTGTTGCCGCGTGGTTTCCGTGCCTGGGGACTCCACGGTTTATCCGTTCAGCTGTTGAACATTGGGGATGTTTCCAGGGTTTAGTGATTATGAACAGAGCTACCGTAGATGTGCAGGTACAGGGTTTTGTGTAAAAGGGATTTGATTTGTTTCTCTTGGGTAAATAGCAAGACATAGGATTATTTATTGGATAATATGGTAAGCATATGTTTAAGTTTATAAGAGCCAAATCGTCCAGAGTGCCTCTGTCATTTTGCAGTCCAGTGGCACTGTAAGTTAAACATTTTGCAGTAGCCAGTGGCTCTGTATCCTTGCCAGCACTTGGTATTTTCAGTATTTGCTTTTTTAGCTGTAGTAGGTATGTAGCAGTAGCTCACTATAGTTTTAATTTGCATTTTCCTAATGTCTAACAACGTCAAGCATCTTTTCATGGGCTTATTTGCCACCTGTATATCTTCTCTGGTGAAGTCCCTGTTCAAGTTTTTTGCTCATTTTAAAAAATTTTTGGTTTTCTTACTGTAAAATTTTGAGAGTTCTTTATGTACCAGTTATATATTGGTAAATATATATTTAAATATTATATATATATATTGCCTGATATTGGTAAATGTTTTTTCCCAGTGTGTAGACTCTCTTTTCATTCTTCTTTCACTGTATATTTCAGAGTAATATACAGTGTTTAATTTTGATGAAGTCCAGTTTACCAGTTTACCAATTTATTCAGTTTACCAGTTTTTTTCTCATGCTTTTGGGGTCATATCTCTGACCTCAAATGACCCTGAGTTACAATGATTTTTCTCTGTTTTCTTCTGTAGTTTTATAGTTTGCATTTAGATTCATGATTTATTTTGAGTTAATTTTTGTTTAAGGTGTGAGGTTTAGGTGTTTTGTATATGGATGTCCAATTGTTCTAGCACCATTTGTTGAAAATGTCCTTTTTTTTTTGTTGGTTTTTTTGTAATCCTGTTTCAAAAACACTGTCTTTTCTTTATTGAATTGCCTTTGAACTTTTGTAAAAATCAGTTGACTATGTTTATATAGTTCTATTTATGGACTCTATTCTGTGCCATTTAATTGTGGGTCTATCCCTTCACAAATACTGTATTAACTCTATTAACTTGAATTTTAGAGTAATGCTTAATATCAGGTTGTGTGACTCCTCCAACTTCGTTCTTTTGCAAATTGTTTTGACTATTTTCTTTGACTTTCCATATAAATTTTAGAATCAGCCTGTTTGTACCTATAAAATAATCTTTTGAGATTTTGATTGGAATCGACACTAAATCTATAGAACAATTTGGGCAAACTAACATCTTAACTATTAATATAGTCAGTCTTTCAATTCATGAACACAGTATGTCTCTCCATTTATTTATTTTTGTTTTCTTTTTTTTCTTTCATCAGTG